GTACAGATAGGAACTGGAAACACAGGGAATCCAGGACAGATGAACCCCTGAGGACCAGTGGTGAGAGTGGTGATACCGGGAGGGTAGAGGGAAGATGGAGTAGAAAGGGGAAACCAATTACAAGGATCTACATATAACCCCCTCCCTGGGGGAGGGACAACAGAAAGTGGGTGAAGGGAGACATTCAACAGTGTAAGATATGACAAAATAATGATAATTTATAAATTATCAAGGGTTCATAAGGGAGGGGGTTGGGGAGGAAGGGGAAAAATGAGCTGATACCAAGGGCTCAAGTAGAAAGCACATGTTTTGAGAATGATGGCAACAAATGTGCTTGACACAATAGATGGGTGTATGGATTGTGGTAAGAGTTGTATGAGCCCCCAATAAAGTGCTTTTTAAAAAAATAGACTCAGTAAAAAATCAATTAAAATTATTTATCAATTTTAAAAACCATGAAGGAAAAAAAAGACAAAACTGCCAACTCGATGGCAGGGAATTTGATTTTGGAGTTATCCATTGTCTGGGCCCAGAGAAAACTTTAAAGAACTAAACCCATTGCTGTCAGGGCACTCACTGTGACCCTGTAAGGCAGAATAGCACTTCCCAATAAGACCTCTAAGACTGCCCTGTCTATGGACACAGATCATGACGTCTTTCCTGTAGCCGCTGATGGATTCTGACCCATGATATCTCCGTTCATAGCCAAGCACTAGTCCCCTGCACCATCAGGTTCCATGAACCAAAACCAACCAACAAACCACTGTCATTGAGCCCATTCCAACCCAGTGTGACCCTAGGACAGAGGAACTGCCCATAGGAGCTCTTCATAAATGGCATTAGTAAAAAATAAAAGTAGTATTGGCCCCTGTTTTCATGGAGAATCATTCTCTCGTTAGGTCATTGGGTTGCTTATACAACGCTTCCTAACAAACACATTGGAAGCACTTACTGAAACTGTGTTGAGTAGGCGAAGTCATAAATGTGGAGGATTCTGGAGTCTTTGAACCACTGCTCCAAAAGAGCTTGATTAACGAGGTGATGAGAGATGTCTGCAGTAGCCTGATAATTGTCGTAAATGAAAATTATGAATATGCGATCAAATTTGCCAATAGCTTGGACTTGGCGTGAGTGGCTAATATGCTGGATTTTAAAAGTCTTTGACATAACGAACTGTACTAGTTAACACTGGACATAGATGTGTTTTTTCTAAAATTCTTTTTGATTAACAAATTTATTGTTGAAAATTTGGAAAGATTTGAAAACACATCACACCCAACTTTGCCTTACCCTAGGGTAACTACAGCAGCGGTTCTCAACCGGCGGGTCCTTTCACAGAGGTCGCCCAATTCCTAACAGTAGCAAAATTTTAGTGATGAAGTAACAACGAAAATAATTTTATGTGGGGGGGGGTCACCACAACATGAGGAACTGTATTATAGGGTCACAGCATTAGGAAGGTTGAGAACCACTGCTCTGAAAGAAAAAATTCTGTTGGCATAGTGGGTTACAAGGTCAGCAGTTCAAAACCACCAGCCGCTCCACAGGAGAAAGATGAGACTCCCTACTCTTGTAAAGATTTAGGCTCGGAAACCCACACGGGCAGCTACCCAGTCCTGTAGGGTTGCTGTGAGTCAGAAGGAACTTGATGACTGAATTTTGGAGTAAGAGTAAGTCAGACTAAAATTCTGATACGTACCCCTCTAGAGTGTGAGTGGGCAAACACAAAACAAATAGGAATCGCACTCCACACAGGGCTTTCGAGCCACATAGGATACAATTAGTAAATGGTACAGCAGGAACCTGAGCTGGTGAATCATCTGGGGAAAACCTAGCCACAGCTGCCCCATCTCCCCTCTCCCCCACACACACCTTGGATACATTCTGTGTTCCTACATACCAGCATCTGCACAGAGTAAAGGAAATACTTCATCTAAGTACTTAGCATATGGCCTACCATATATAGTAAGTACTGGGGGGTTGTTCATATCAAAGGCATGGCATTGCTGTAACCCTCTCGTTTTACAAGGACGGGAACACACTCAGAGGGCAATGACTTGCTGAATGCTGTGCAGGTGATGTTTAATGTTGCTGTTGGGAGCTGTCGAGTTGATTCAAGTACAACCGAAGAAAACCCTGCCTGGCCCTCTGCACCATCCTCTCAGTTGTTCTGTTACTTTTGAGCCTGTTGAGCCCATTTTTACAGCCAGTGTGTCCATCCTTCTTGTTGACCCGCTACTATTAAATATGCATGCACATATGTATTGTGTGTGTGAGTATATATATATATTTAAGATAGATCCAGCTATGTTTTGCTCCCTCTCTGCTCAAATGCCACCATAGGAAGCAGTCCGTGACTCCTTGCCCCTCTCTCCTGTTGTAGGCCATACTAGTTTTTCTTCTGTGTTCCCATAACCCTTGGTGCGTACCTCTTCTATATTACAAACAGGTTTTGATTCCTGTTTTTACACCTTTGTCTCTTTCCCAGCCCTGTGGCTTCCTCAAGGGCCTGGCTGAGCTTTGAGCTTTGTATCTTCTGAACCAAGCAATGTGACAACTGTGGAGCGACCAGGTTTTTTAATTAATAGGTTGCAGATATTGAGGGGGAGCTAGCGTGCAGTAGAGTAGCATCCAGATCGATAATTCCATTGCGCGTATCTCTCCGTCATCTTACAAATATTTCTTGAGTGTTGACTTGTGCCAGACATGGATCAGTGCAGGGACTTTGTGTGGTGTTTAGCCAGTACTTGCCTGTTTAGAGTTGGTCTCATGGGGAAGACAGCCGCCGAACAATGAAGTACGCACGGTGCTTTTTATCAAGCCGAGTGTTGCTCGGAAAATAAGGTTCCAGGAGAGCTCAAAGCAAGGGACCTTGGCGTGATTGGGTGGAAAGAGGTCAGGAAAGATTCATCTGAGAATGCTACAGGGAATAAGTTCGCCCGCCACGGGGAATTTGAGGACATGGTGTGGGAAGTGTGTGTGCACAGGCCCTAAATTCCTGCATAACAGGAATTTAAGGACGAACAGGGGGCAAAGAGCAAAGCAGAGTTTGGTAGACCGGACAGAGGCCAAATTCTAGAAGACTTAAGAGATCATGTTGCAGACTTTGGATTTTAGCCTCAGCAATAGTAAGCCTCTCTGACGTGCTTGACTTAGTACTGGCCTTTTCAGAGACGTGAGCATGGAAAGAGACGTGAAGTTTGTATCATATTTGGAATATAGAATCCAAATACTTTTTAAATGGATTGTATAGTATGTGGAGGATTGTTATGTGCAAACCTGAAGAGTAGTGGGTGTTCAGAGAAGCAGCTCTGGTTTGAATATCAGAAACGGTGTCCTGACCACTTCTAGGGGCTGCCTCCTAATAGAGTGCCCAGGAGAAGGTGTGCAGCCGGAGGCTACAAGACCTCCTGGCAGGGACCCTCCAGCTGGGCTTCTTGCGCTTGGTGGGAGGGCCTTGTCCGACTCTGTGGTTCTTTCACACCACTCAGTGCCATCGAGTCCGTTCTGACGCAGAGTGACTCAATAGGGCAGTGTAGAGCTGCCGCTGTGGGTTTGCAAGATTGTGACTCTGCTGGAGTAGAAAGCCTCATCTTCCGTGGAGCAGCTAGAGATTTCAAGCTCCTGTGGTTAGCAGCCCAGTTTGCAACCACTGGGCCACAAGGAAAGAGCACGAGGGCTCCTTCTTCCTGCTGTGGTCACTGAGTCTGCCCCTCCCATACCGCCTTGCACATGAATCAATAGGCATGAAACTGGACTTCATCTCTTCCATTAGTCTTAAATTCTCTAACATGTCACTGTGTAAATACAAATTTGTGGGGGAAAGTAGGCCAGTACTGACTGTTAATATTAGATATTTGAAGTTGTATTTCTGGAATTACTTATAAAGTAATAGGTCGCCCTATGGTCGCCAGAAACCACGAACTCTTGTGGGTGGTAGAAGGTGAGGTTGACAGTCATGGCGAAAGCAAGCCAGTGTTTAAACAGAAGCCTAGAGGTTCCAAGAGAAATCAAAACTTCAGAATCCCAAACGCAGACTACTTAGGGAGATTTGTATGTTTTTATGTGATTAGGAAGAGAAAGTCACAGAAGATGGAGGAATCTGATATTTCTTCCAGGGGGAGTGTGCACATCCTGTGTTGAACCACATTCATGTGACTAGGCCTACGCAACGGGCAGGAAAATATCTTGTATCATAACCTGTTAGACACTCCACTCTGCAGCCCCTCTGTGGAGACGGTGGTGTCAGTCTGCATCTGTGAACCCGGTGGACCAGTTCCACTCTGCCCTACATGCGTCGGAATCAACTTGAAGGCAGTGGGTCGGGGTTTGCTAGCCTGTCGTCAGTGATCAGATGGGGCCTTGAAAGGCAAGGAGAGTTGGAGGGAGTGAAAGAAGTGATGGATGGAGCAGAATTCTCATTTGGAATTGGAACTGTGAGTAGGAATTGTCTCCAAATCATCTGAATCTGGAGGAGCAGCTTGAGGGTGAGAATGACAGGGATCCAAGCACGCTGGGATCAAGCAGTAATGAAGGCTTGCGCTCCCTGGGCACCGGCAGGACGTGCAGCCCCGGCTTCTTCCCTTGCACGTGCACGCCCCAGCTTGCGTGGTTGGTAGAGAGTAAGGATTCACTTCCTCTCCTGTGTTCTTGCGCAAATGCACTCCTAGGGCTCAGAATTGACGTAGTGTGCAGACTTAAAACAGATTTCCTTATAACATTCACCCCCCAAGTAGATGTCGCTATTCTGGATCCTCACCGGGAGGTTAGTTACTTTAGCATTTAAGACAATGGGTGAGGTGTAGTGAGATGAGAGAGAGAGAGAGTGTGTGTGTGTGTGTGTAGGTCGGGTGGCAGTGGTGGTGCCGAGTCAAAAAATCTGATTGCAAACCCTAAACTGTTGCTTGACATATGGGGCATAATGATCCCTGCAGGAAGAGATGCAATTCTGTGGGCAGTCAGGCTTCACTCTGCGGTCTGTCTTCATGGACTAATGCATCGCTTGTTGATCTTTCCTTTGGGGAACAATGCAGCAAGCAAAGGCGACCAAAAGAAAATACCACGCAGCCACAGCCGGTGAGACTCCTCCGGTGAAACAGAGGCGTGAGGCACCATTGTTCGCAGCCAAGAAAACTAGTGTCCCAGAAACTCAAAGGACTCTTCAGGGGAAGGTACAGAAAACAGCTTCTCCAAAGAAGTACTCGGCTGGCATCGGGAGTGGGAACCAGGAGGAGAAACCGTGTGTTAAGACTTCATCGCTGTTTAAGAACAATCCTGAGATTCCAGAACTCCACAGGTATGTCTATATTCGGCTGGCCTGCTGGACTAAACGGAGTCCAGTGTGTTCTGCCGTGGTCTTGGTATGTTGGAACTGATGACTGGGTTTTGTCCGTCCTCTGCAGACCTGCAGTAAAGCAGGCACGAGAGAAGGTGTTTACTTCCGATGCTTTTCATGAACTGGACCTCCATCCACATCTAGTAAGTACCTTGCAGGGCTTGATATGTCGGGGGGTGGGGGTAGGTTTATTCATTCAGAATGTCTGTGAAAGGGTAGTTCTAGGAAGAGAAAGGGATTGTTTCTGCTCCAAGCGCCCCAGAGGATTCTGTTTGATAGGCTACCCTTCTAGGACAATGCCATTTGCTAGGATAATTGTGTACTGCCTCCCAACATTTTGTATTTTCCCCTTTAAGAACTAAAGACCCCTTTGGGACTGGGACTTCAGGTAGCTTCCTTGTCTGTGAGATGTGGCAGTGAGACCATTCTGGTAGTGGATGCCGCCGTGGCCATAGGAGAGGGGGCTGAACTGGCTTCTTGATGTTAAGGGAAAAGGAGACCATTTTAACAGGAATTTCTTGCAAATGAACTAACACCTTGTTATTTTTTTAATGGGTTTCCAGACTACTTATGAGTAAGGGGTGACAAATACATTCACCCTTAGATAGTCTTGATCTCCATTGCACATGCAGTCACGATTGACCTGCCCCTTCTTTTTTACGGAGTTTGCTTCCTCGCACACAGGTTTGAGCAGCACGACAGATATTTGGGGCTGGATAACTCTTTGTTGTAGGGGCTGCCCTGGGCACTGTAGGACATGTAACAATATCCTTGGCTTCTACCCACTAGATTTCGGTAGCACCCCTCACTGTGACAACCCAAAATGTCTCTAGGCAGGGCCACATGTCCCTAAGGGTGTGGGGAGGGAGCCACATCAACCCTGGTTGAGAACTGAAGATGATTTGAACTTCATGTGAGCATGGTAATTGGGTTCATTCGAGTATATTCTGCCTTTTGTTTCCTTTTGCCACACACACACATACACCACCACCCCACCATGTTAAAGAAAATATATTTTGTTTTGTCTTCTCTCAGATTTCTACAATAAACACAGTTTTGAAAATGTCTAGCATGACCAGGTAAGAATTCCAGGCTAATTAATCTTAATTGTCTTAGAGCTCAAGTGCATATAACCAGATGAAAGTTGAATTGTCTGTGAAGGGCAGCGCACATGTGATCCTTGGCATTAGGAACAGATGCTGCCATTGACCAGCCAGGGTCCAACCTATCTGTCGCTGCTCAGTTTGTCCATTTCCTCCAGTTAACGAAGGGTCTGTATTTCCACACCTTTCTGCTCTGGGCTCGAAGCTAAACCATGATGCGCTGCGTCTGGAGCAAGGTCGTCCATGCCTCCTTGACAATAATGTGGGTAAAATGGAGATGTTAGCAAGTCATTTCTTAGTGGTAAGAACTTGAATCAACCAAAAAGACTATTTGGTTAGAAATAGATGCTGTGAAAAAAAATATTTAAAAATCTTTATCAACAATGATAACACATGGAAAATGAGATTAGGGTGTGGCTGTACTTTTCTGTGCATTTTAATAATGATAGGTGCCTTTTACTTCTCTGAGTAAAAAAAAAGAATGAGAATATTGAAGAAGAAAATAAGGATCCTCCTCCTCCCACCTCACCACCAAATGAGGCTTCTCTCGGCATTTTCAGCTAAGCACCAGTAATTCTGTGGGGGGTTTAATACTTGTAGTCATCAGATGATTCCTAGCACCTGCTCTTGAATGTTTAGTGTAATTGATAAACAAATCAAAGTGGGGTGATTTCATTTTGTACACACTATATGCCGGTAAACATAGATGTGTAACATGTGACAGCTAAATCAGTGTTCTTTCTTCTGGGTGCCCAAGTGTGCAGAAGCAGAGTATCCCTGCATTGCTGGAAGGCAGAGACGCCCTTGTGAGATCTCAGACAGGTTCAGGTCAGTGCTCACTGAATTTTCTGCCTTCTCATGTGTCCAGGTCAATGGCTGTGGAGTAAACTGTTGTTGGATAGGGGGTTTGCTTTGTTTTATTTGGGGGTAGGGAAACTGCTTGCTTTCACTTAGAGCAGTGGATTTGCCCTGGAATGAAAGGCAGGGATGATTAATGGGCTCTGTCAGGAAGTGGTCACATTCTGCTGTCTTTCTCGGGAGCCTTTTTCTGGCCTCTGCCAGGCCCTGCCATCTGTGGCCAGAGCTGCCTATCATAGGCAGATGTGACTGAGCACCAGTCACTCCGCTTTTACACAGAAACCTGTTTTTGCTGTATTCCAGACCAGTCGGAACTTATTGCTCTAGTCCTCTGATACCTTAATGGGAAATCCCCCTGACTAGTCCACCATTCTGAGGAGTAGAAACCCTGAATTTGGGTCATCTTGGATTTCTCCCTGGTCTTTAAAGACTACTATAGGGTACCAACTGGCTCCCGGTCCTAAGTGCCCTTGCAGAGGACCTTTGGTTGCCTTGAAGCTCATCTAACGTCTACCCACACTGCTCAAGTTGAACTTCCGTGTGATATGGGAAATGCACCTTCACCTCCCTTGTGAGATGACACCTAAAGGTGCTGAGGCGGGAAGCTTCTTTTCTTGTTAAGTGGTGTCGCGTCGGCTCCCACTCAGAGTGACCCTGTGTACAACAGAACAAGACACTGCGCCATCCTCACAATTGTTACAGCCACTGTATCCATCCGTCTTGTTGAGAGCGTGCCTCTTTTTCGCTGCCCCTCTACTTTCCCAAGCAAGAGTTCCTTCTCCCGGGGCTGGTCCCTCCTGATAACATGCCCCAATAAGTCTTGTCATCCTAGCTTCTAAGGAGCAGTCTGGCTGTACTTGAGCAGAACTGAGTGGCGAAGCAGATGAATAGTTGTGGAGTGAGGTGCCCTCCCTTCCCCCTGGCATGGCCGTTGGAGGTGCACTCTCTCCCTAAAGAGAACACCTGTGCCCTGTATGGTTCTTGCTTTTCTGTAGGACGTGGGATTTTAATGGCTTTCATACCTTTTATTTTTAAGGTAAAACCCTTGCCTACTGCATTCCTGTCGTCCAGTCCCTTCAAGCAATGGAAACAAAAATACAGGTGAGTAGGAAGTGTTTTCTCTGTTGCTCTTCATAGTGCACGAGCAAGCATCAAACTGACCTACACTGGGATTGAGAGACTATTTTCACTTACACTGTGTTCTTCCTTTTCATTCCTTTATTAATGTATTTTTTAATCATTTTATTGGGGGCTTGTACGGCTCTTATCACAGTCCATACATACATCCATTGTGTCAAGAACATGTGTGCCTTTGTTGACATCATCATTTTCAAAACATTTTCTTTCTACTGAAACCCTTGGTATCAGCTCCTCATTTTTTTTCTCTCCCTTATGAACCCTTGATAATATATAAATTATTGTTATTTTTTCATGTCTTACACTGACCGATGTCTCCCTTCACCCACTTTTCTGTTGTCCATCCCCCTGGGAGGGGGTTTTATGTAGATCATTGTGATCGGTTCCCCTTTCTCCCCTCACCTTCCCCTTCCCCTTCCCCTCCTTCTATCGCTACCCTCGTTATTGGTCCTGAGGGCTTTATCTGTCCTGGATTCCCTGTGTTTCCAACTCTTACCTGTACCTGTTTATATGCTCTGGTCTAGCCAGAAATGGGGTCATGATAGTGGGGGGGGGGAGCATTAAAGAACTAGAGGAAAGTTGTATGTTTCAATGGTGCTGTACTGCACCCTTACTGGCTTGTCTCTTCCTTGTGACCCTTCTGTAAGGGGATGTACAGTTGTCTTCAGATGGGCTTTGTGTCTCCACTCTGCACTCCCCCTCATTCACATTGATATCATTTTTTGTTCTGGGTCTTTGATGCCTGATACCTGATCCCATTGACCCCTCATGATCACACAGGCTGGTGTGCTTCTTCCACGTGGACTTTGTTGCTTCTCAGCTAGAAGGCCGCTACAGACTGCCCATAGTAGAGTAAAATAAACATATTTTGTAGTCATCATAGTAGGTATAGCAGGGAGCATTTGTAAAATACTACACCCCCTGCCCCCCCGCCCCCAATACGTCAGGTGCTATTGTGAATGCTTTCCTTGTGTTATCTTCTTGGGTCTTAAACCACCCCTACATACACAAAATTCTAGGGATCCCAGTTTTGCGAAAAGAAAAATGGAAGAGAAGGGAACATACCGTGCTGAGATCCACATTGAGTCGTGGTGGCAGTGGATCTCCCAGGACTTGAGTCCTATTTGATTCAGAGACAAATTCCTCCCTCCGTGCTGTGGTTTCACGGCAAGGGTTAATTGTGGTCACCTGTGCTGTGTACAAAGGAGCCCTTGTGGCACTGTCAGGTCAGCGCTGGACTGCTAACCACAAGGTTGTCGATTGAAACCCACCAGCTGCTCCGAGGAGAAAGATGTAGCCACTGGCTCCTGTGGGGTGGGGGGTGGGGGGAAGGGAACCCAAACTGGGTTCCTTGGATTCCCGGGGAGATGGTTACACTTTGCCATGTTTTGTGGGCTTTGGCTCATCACAAACCCCAATCTATAATCTTACTAAGACAGACTTGGTTTTTTTTTCAGTTGAGAGGAAATGGGAGGCCAGAAATGGGAAGTGAGGGGGTGCACAAAACAGATGGGAAGAGCGCGTAGATGACGTGCTTAGTTTCGACGTGCAGAAGGAGAGCTGGATGAAGCCTCCTGGTCTTTGTGTGACAAAGTAAGTAGCAGTAAAGCCAAAGAACCACAACCAGTGGTCATTGCCGACTCACGGCAACGCATGTTCTGAGTAAGCTGAGCTCTGGAGGGTTTTCCTTGGCTGGGATCTTTGGGACTACATCACCAGGCCTTTCTTCCAGGGTATTTCTGTGTGGCGTCCACTGCCAGTCTTCTGGTTAGTAGCCAACTGCGCATCTATTTGCGCCACAGATACATAGATTACAACCCATGGAATAATAAATATCAGTGAGCCCAAACTGATCAGAATAACTGTACAAATAGATGCGGGGGGTGGGGAGGACACAGTACTTCCGTAGAGTATGACACCAAGGAATAAATGCAAGAGTGCTGCACTTACAGAGCCACCACTCGGTAAGTGCCACGGTAAGATTGCTTCAGGTGAAAATCACGGATGCTAAAATGAATGGATGAAAGTATGCTGAACAGCAGGCTACTGTACGTAGTCTCCGAGTGTGTTTCTACAAGGCACTTGGCAGTTTCCGAGCGGAAGCTTGTAGCTTTCTCATGGTGGATCCTGGCTGTCGCCGCCACAGCCACGTGATCCTAGTTGGCATCCCCAGTACTGAGCTGCATCAGCATTGTGCACCCCTGATAAGATCCACTCAGAAGGGCAGTGCAGCACCCAAAATGAACTTCACCCGTAGGACACTCAAGTGGAGGGACAACCTTCAAAAGGATTCCTCAGTGCTTTTTTGAAAGTATCAAGTCATGGAAGACAGAGAAAAGATGAGGCCTTTTTCCAGATGAGAGGAGGGACGGCAAGTAAATGCGTCATGTCCTGGATCAAATCCTGATCCAGAAAGGAAACACTAACGGGCCCGCTACAACTTCGAATAAGATCTGTTTGTCAATAGCAGTCAGTGTTCATGCCCTCATTTTGAGGATTGTACTGTAGTTATTTAAAATGGTTAACATACAGGAAAGCCAGAAACGGGGATTCCTTATACTCTGTGCAGATTTCTTTTGAAATGTGAAATTAAAAGAAATGAAAGGGTGGGGGGGGTTGTTTGTTTTTTTAAGTGAGTTATAAAAGAAACTCCACATGACCTTCCAAGTGGCAGAGCTCATTAAAAATTACACTTTTTTCTATTTACTATTTGTGAACTTGAGCAGGTGGTATGTGAAAGGGGGCAGGTCACAAAACCCTGTGTGTAATCCGGTTTCATAAACAGTAGCAGTCTCTGTGTGCACAAGAAGACTAGAAAGCGACTTACCAAACTACTAGTAGTTCTCTCCGCACTGGGTGATGAAGCATTCTGTGTTTGTTAATGGCGGTGATTTTTTTCCCATCGAGCACTTTAAGTTTACACTGAGATAATTCCATGTAAAGTGATTCCCATTGTATGTGGTACATCCTAAGAGATGAACAAATAGAAAGTATTACAATAACATAGTAAAAACAATTGTATCCACTTAGGTACTCCAGGAGGCTCTCTTGCTAGTCGAGGTTCCTTCTTCGTACAAAGTTGGAGAGAGTGGGAATTTTTGAGCTGGGATGAGATCTGGAATTCCAGCCAACTCTCATTCCACAGATCTGTGAGGCAGGGAGATGAGATGATATCCTTAATATGGACTGGGCAGTGAGTGACTGCTCAAATCCTGGTCCTGTGTGTAACTTTAGGCAAATGCTTTCACCCCTCACTGCCTCTCTGCCCACCCCTGTGACAAAGGGATAATAGCGGTACCCATGTTCTAGAGCAGTGGTTCTCAACCTTCCTAATGCCGTGGCCCTTTAATATAGTTCCTAATGTTGTGGTGCCCCCCAAATCATAAAAGTATTTTTGTAGCAACATCACAACTGTCATTTTGCTACTGTTATGAACCAGGAGAACCCTGTGAAAGGGCCGTTGGACCCCCAAAGGGATCGTGATCCACAGGTTGAGAACCACTGTTCTAGAGTAACAGAATTTAATGAGTCACTGCATATCAATTGTTGAGCACTGGAATCCAAACCATCCCAAAAAGCGCAACCCCATTGCCTTAGAGTGGATTCCAGACTGCCGCAGAGGGCTCCCAAGGGCTGGAATCTTTACAGCAGCAGACTGCCACCGACTTTTTCCTTTGGAACAGCTGCTGTGTTCAAACCACTGACCTTTCCGTCCCAGCTCAGTATTTAACGACTGTGCCTCCAGGAAGGAGTCCTAGATGCTCAGTGGGCTAAGCATTGGGCTGAACTGCTAACTGCCAGGTTGTGTAGTCCAACCCACCAGTCGTGTTTCAGGAGAAATAGAAGGCTGTCTATGAGCATAACGACGTAGTCTCAGACACCCTAACGGGGCAGTTCTACTCTGCCCTGTGGGGTCACTGAGTCAGGATCAACCCAAGAGTGAGTGGGGAGGTGCAGCCAGGGTGCCTTGGCTGGTGTCCTAGGGGTTCTAGTGTGTGCCCTCTGTTAGTTGTCATCGTCATCCACAAGGTCATGTGGCTAGTTTGAGAGGCGATGCTATGATTTGCTTATGTTCAGAGCCCTTATACAAGCCATGTAGTTTTTTTATTTGCTGTCATTTAATTTTTTTTTACTATAGGTAGCAGCTTGTTCTATGAAAGATGCTGTATTTCTGGAGAGACAGTTTTCCAAGCCCCAGTTTAGTTCACTTATTTCAAGTAACATTCAGTAGGGTTCCTTGGAGCTTCATTGTAAAACGATTTGACCTGGAAAAACCATATCTGGAGAGAGCAGCAAATTCAAGGCACCCAGCAGGTTCCTAAATTACTTGGGTGATGGAATACGAATGGACTGCTTTTCTGTTTGGGCTCTGATTTTTCTAACATCACACCCCATCTTTCTTCACTCACTTCTGCCCTGGGAGGAATTGATTTTTCTTTCTTCTTCTCTGTGTAGCAACACCTTTTGAAATGTCAAAATCTCCTAACGTCACACAGTGGCACGTAGATACCGTTGTACTAACATGTTTACCGTTCTCCGCCTAGGCTTCAGCGTACTCTCACAGAGTTGATATTGAATACAGAGCACTCTCGTTTGAATCCCAAGTCCTTCCCTCCTTGTGGGTAAATGTTTCCAATGCAAAACATGAAGACCATACTTGTAATTGGATCTGCTGTTAAATCTGAGCCTTGCTTCCTCACTAACATTGTTGTGCTTCATTAGTTACTTGTGTACGAGCCCCGTCACTGTGCAAGGCATGTTGGAACCACTTTGTTTTCTACCATTGTTATTTTCAAACACAGATTGCTAACCCAGTGAACAGTTCTGCTGTGTCGTACAGGGTCAAATCTGAGATGGAATTAATTGAATGGCAGCGGAGTTGGATTTGGGTGTTTGGGGTTTTTTTATGCTTCCAGGCTAAGCTCTGCATAGCAAACAGATAGGAGTATGCATAGAAACCCTTTTATTTGGGAGGGTTTTTTTCATTTGTTTTTGTTTGGTTGGGTTTGAAAGGTAAATGGCCGCTTATTATTCATGCTGCTCTCTCCCTTGTTTTTGTTCACTTATGCTTTGAGTATGGTTTCTTATCAGTGCCGCATAGAGCTACCCTATTTTTTTTTAACAGCTTCCTAGTATTTTTTTGGGTGTGTGTACTACAGATTATTCCATCAGCCCTTAATTTGTGGGATTTACATTGTCAGTATTTTTCTATTAACAAGGCTACTACGTGTACTTTCTATGTCTGTAACGTCACTTCTTGCACATGTGAGCGTGTATCTGTAGAACTTCTGTAAGTGGGATGTGCATTCTTGGTTTGTGAGATAGTAATGCCAGACGGACTGCCCAAAGCCTGACTTTGCACCAACAGTGTTTGAGTTCCTGTTTGCCTGTGCCTTCGTCCAGTGACAGCCAGCTGTTCTGTTTTTGCTAGTTTGACAGGTGAAAACCAGTCTGTAGTTTTAACTCTAATTTCTGTCATATGTGCCCCTGAACATGTCTTTGTACATGTAAAAGCTGTATTTTCAATTCATACTGCTTTTTCTGTGGTAGCAACGTTATTCTACTTGAGTTATAGGTCTTTTTTTTTTTTTCATTTATAGGCCTTTGTTTTTTCATCTATACAGATTATATTTATAAGCTTAATGTATTTTAGAAATTAAAGATATTTTTCTACCCTAAGTTTTGGCTTAATTTACACTGAATACTGGTGTCCTATACTTTATAGCATTTAAAAAAAATCATTTTATTGGGGGCTCGTACAACTCTTATCACAATCCATACATACATCCATTGTGTCAAGCACATTTGTACATGTTGCCATCATCATTCTCAAAACACTTGAGCCATTGGTTTCAGCTCCTCATTTTTCCCCTCTCTCCCCCATTCTCCCTCCCTCATGAACCCTTGATAATTTATAAATTATTATTTTTTCATGTCTTACACTGACCTCCCTTCACCCACTTTTCTGTTGTCCATCCCCCAGGGAGGGGATTATATGCAGATCATTGTGATTGGTCGTTCCCCCCCCCCCTTCACCTTACCCTCCTGGAATCGCTACTTTCATTATTGGTCCTGAGGGGTTTATCTATCCTGGATTCCCTGCGTTTCCAGCTCTGATCTGTGCCAGTGTACATTATAGGCCTTCTTTATAAGTTAAAGAAATTAGTCCGTTCTCTTATGTGTAGCATATTTTCCCTTTCAGTTGTCATTTTATCCTTGATTACATTTAGGTAATTTTGTTAGACAATTTCAAATTTTTATGTAGTGAAATATATCCTATCTTATGCCCAGTTTCTGAATTTTATGTCATCTATAAAATGACCAACTGAATTCCAGCTTTATTTTCCTAACTGTATGTCTACTTTAGAGGACTTTTGAATGATTTTCTCCCAGTTGATATCAAATGCCCCTTTGTTTGCTATATTTTTCATGTATTTGGATCCTAAATTTTTTTATTCCTAAATTTTGCATGTATTTGGATCTATTCTAGACTATATTTTCTACTGTTTATTTACACCAGCATTATTTTATTTTCTGAAACTTTAAATTATGGACCAATGTTCTTGCATTAATCTTTTCTCCTCCCATATATATCTTGATTATTCATGGAGCACATTTATTTCTCCATGAAAACTTTGAAATCTGATAGAGCTACCTATGTGTGTGTGCATTTATATATTTTTGCGGCATTTTTATTAAAGTTGCATTAAATCTATAGATGAGAGAGAATTGGTTTATTTATATTAAGTCTTGTTGTCCAAGAATAAAACATCTTTCCATTTATTCAGATTTAATTTTATGCCCCTCAGAGGTGTTAAAAATGTCCACATACAGTTTACCCATTTTTTATTGAGCTTATTTTCATCTGTTTTATTGCTATTGTAAATGTGAATTTCTTCCCCCGCTTATATTGTGTTTTTTAACTTTCTGTGTTAGAAGGGCCACTGATTGTTCGTTTGTTTGATTTTAATATTTTTGCTTTCAGTTACTAGGCTGAATGATCTTGTTTGTGATAGATTTTGGTTGATTCTATCCAAGTTGTCTTTTGGGATAAGATAATGTCATATGCTAAAAATGATTACTTTGCCTCAGCTTTCAATTGTTAAACGTCATATTTCTTTTTCTTGTCGGATTGTGTGGGCCAGAACCCCTGGCACAGTGTTACATAATACATGGGGGAGTCCATATTCTCTCATTGTTCTATTCTTTGATGAGAAAGCAGCAGTGTTCCAACTGTCTGCTTTATAAGTTCCGTCCATCAGAGCTGTGTGGTCGTTGTTCTTCCTTCTCATGACCTGTCTTTTCTTTGTCAACAGCGCAGTGACGGCCCCTATGCTCTGGTCCTCGTGCCAACGAGAGAGGTGAGCCCTCTTGCGTTAGGGTGAGCTTTAAGCAAATACCTGTTTCCTTTTTCTCTGGGCTGCACAAACCACCACACTCTCCGTTCCTTCCCTGGGGGATTCCTATCAGCGAGAAGGACTCAAGTCCTGTTTGCAAAGTATGGACAAGCGTTCCCCTTTTGTCACAGACTAACAGCACTGCAAAAGCCTGTCCCTTCAAAGAATCGTGTTTTAACTGTGTGTGTGTGTGTGTGTGTGTGTGTGTGTGTATTTAGCAACTCAATTCAAAAGTGAACACAACTGGCTCTAAAATGAACATGTATTTTTTTTTTTTAAGAAGCTTCTACTACCAAAAGTGTTAGTTGTTCCTGAAAGTTGAGCTTCTCAGTGTCTTTCCCTTCCTTCCTTGATGGCAGTCTTTTCTCTCTGATCTGTTTTATTTGCCCACAGAGGTAAATTCAGAGGAGGTGTCTCTTCTGGAGTGAATGCTAAGCACTTCCTTGCAGAGAATCGATCATGGGATGGAGGGTTCCGCTCAGCCTTTCATACAGTCTGTGGTGCCCTGTGTCTGTTCAGTCCAAGGAAGACGCAGGCACGGAAGCTATTTAAATTTTTACGGCAGCAAACTTGCTACTTCCCTAGAATGCTTCATGAATACTAAACGTGTGGGAAGTGTCTGTCTTCCTGGATCGAGGGACTCTCCAACAGTTTCCTTTGATCGTGGTCAGTGGTGATAACCAACGTTCATTTTCAGTGTGGCGGTTTCCACCGGGTTTGTTGGTTCCGTTTTTATTTTTTATAATGACCGTGTCTCTCAGCGTGCAGATACGGCTTTCCTCTGCCAGATTCTTGGAACCTTGAAAGCTAAGTTCCCAAAGGCTAGCTGTTGCATTGTTGTCCGAGTTTATTTCTTCACCTCTAGTCTTTCTCATTCTGAGGAGCACCACATCCAGGGTGGGGACCTGTCACTTCTCCCATCTTCGTGTGTCAGACTTACACTTTTTCCATGTGCCTCTCTGGGAATTTGAGCCAGCAGAGGGAGCACAAAACACTATTTTTGTAAGTGTCCAAGGAAAGAAGTGGTGTCCTTACCCTCCTTTTCCCAAACTGACAGGTCTCAGGACCCATCTAAGAACAGGATATATTTCAGAATCTATTATGTATGTTAGGTTTTTTTTCCCCCTTGTAAATCTTCCATTCCGGTCTTAGTTTGGATCTTAATCACTTGATAGTGTCTTTAATTACACACACATGCACACACCCCAAGCTCCTCTTCAATATCCCTGATTGGGCTGAGCTGAAGCAGGTCAGGGTCCTGCTTCCCTGCACATCCCTGGAGGTCCGCAGCTGCCCCCCTGAAATGAGACCGAAGAACAATGCCCTGCTAGAGCTGATAAACTACAGCCTGGGCCATAAACCTTGCGGCTGCAGCATGGACTCCCCCCTCTCCCGCTTCCCTTCAAAAGCCCCAGACCCCTGGGCTTTGCCCATGATTCCCCTGGGCTACTTGCTAGACCATGGGGCTTCGCCTGGGAGCTACCCCCTAATAAAGCTATTTCTGTTTCTGCTTTCCCTTTGTCCTTTCAGTTATCTGTGTCTGTCTCTCTGTACCTCAGTTTACCGCTCACTCGTCCTGTGCCTCAGTTTACCTCTCAGTCGCTAACCTTTTAATATCTTTTACAGCTGGCCCTGCAAAGCTTTGACACTGTCCAAAAATTGCTTAAGGTAAGGTAAGCCCTGAGTCCTGTCCGATCTTGTTTTCTGGCTTTCTGAGGAAAGAGAGGTACACCACAATCTGTTCTTTCTGTTCAAAGAGCTAGGGATTACTCTTACTTTCTCTGTTTCTGAGAGGTCTCTGCTTTAGTGAGGTACACTTCTTGGGCTTCTCAGATCTCAGAGAACTGTTGATGTCTAGCTTACTAAAAGAAGACCACTGCAATGTCCACTTAGAATTATTGAAGTCTAAATAAAATGAAAACGAAGCCTTTGTCCAGACTGCAGCCCCCTTTTCCCTGGCCCATTTTCGTTTACATCCTTCAGGGAGGGTAGAATACAGAAAGCAGAAGAAAAGGCAAGTTAAAGTACATATATCACTAAGTGGTATTGACAGAAGTAAAACAAAAGCATATTTAGGTAAAGTTTCAGGCGCCTTGGTTTATGAACCCAATTCCTGGATTTCCTTTCTAGCTGTCCTCCAGCCGGGGAGGGAATAGGCACACCTGTCCCTGAGAGAAAGGCTTAACAGCATCTCTTGATAAGGGGAGAGGTGGTAGTTGAAACAAGAATTGCTCTTAAGCCTTAGAGTCTGAGGGCACTTAGAAACCTGCATCCCATTGTGATGTTAAAACAGGTTCCCTCAGGCCAGGCCCAAGCCGGTGGGAGGGGGCTGGGAAAATGCCTCCAGGAAAAGTGTTCTCGGACAGTTCTACTAACGGTGGTGACGTGAACTTGTCTAGTTCACTTGTGGTCTTGGACTCTGTTCATCACACTTAGCAGTGAGCCACGTGCAGCTCACAGGCACAGCCATGCAGCTTCGAGCTCAATGCAACTGAAAAGGCCACAAGTGGGGTTTAAGAAGGAAGGCTTGAAAGTCAAAACCTGCCAACTCACCAATTAAATCTAGGATTGATGGACACTTTTCTTTTATTGAAAAATGGGAAGGTAGGGAGAGCAGGAGAGGGTGGTGGCAAGGTTTTATCTTAAGCTAAAAAAGGCAATCGGCTTACTGCAGTGTGTTTTCCATGCTGGCTACTTGGGCTTGCATCTTTGTTGAAAAACCTTACTTTTTTCTGACAGTGCTGAAGCTAGTCCTCTAGCTGTAATTCCAGTTTCTGCTAACAGTAACCCTGGGCACCCGTGGTGGTGCCTCTGGTGTCTGTCTGCATGATAGCACCTCACTCTTTGAGAAACCTCCTTCCTCTCCCTGTTTGTTTAAGGGGAAATAAACTAGAATCGCTCTGGGTGCTTTGCATTGATTTTGTCTTTCTGTTGTCTTTCTGTAGCCATTTACATGGATTGTGCCTGGAGTGCTAATGGGCGGAGAGAAGAGAAAGTCCGAAAAGGCGAGGTACGAGGGGGTTTGCTTGGTTTTAATTTCTTGTAAGTTATCCGTCCTACTAAACAACACTTGATTCGGTTAAGCCTGAAGAGCACCTGTCTCAGCCTGTGCATCTTGGCCCTATGGGTAATAAGGGCATGCTGAATCGCTAGGGAGTGATCCTCTCGTAACTTATATACGGATAAGCGTTCTGGCAAGTAGAGCATGTTGGCGTGCTCTGGAAAGGATATAATGGTTCAGATAAAGAGCATTGGATTCGATCGTTAGGGTTCTTTTCAAGTGTTAGGATGGTATTATTGATGTCACAGGAAACTGACAAAGTTTGAAAGTGCAAATGCATCTTTATCTGCATTTGTCCTGACTTGTGATTTCTGTCTGTGACACCTTTGTGCTGTCCGTGAGTCTCTTCTTTTTCCTTGTGTTTTCTCTTGATACAGCCATATTTGATTTACTTTCTCTTGTGATATAATTTTAAACAGACTCCGCAAAGGAATAAATATCCTTATCTCCACTCCTGGGCGTCTGGTGGATCATATAAAATCCACAAAGAACATTCATTTTAGTCGGATCCAGTGGCTGATTCTGGACGAAGCAGACAGGTGAGACTCGCCCACGAGGCTTGAAAGGGTGGAGAAAGGACGGGTTCTGCCTGCATTGCAACTTCAGTAGCCCCTTAGTATTAACATTTCTTCTCTTCAAACCACAGAATCCTGGATTTGGGTTTTGAGAAGGACATCACAGTAATCCTCAACGCTGTGAATGCAGAATGCCAGAGACGCCAGAATGTCTTGCTGTCAGCAACACTCTCAGAAGGTCCGTGATCACCCGCCCTTGCTTGCTCACTTTTTATTGTAGCTGACAGACGCAATTTTGTCTCATGTCATTGTTTACAATCTCCACATGAAACATCCCCGATCTCACTTCCTCCCTTGAACTCTCCTTTCCCGGCTTCCTTCTTTCCTCGCCCTGCTGACCTGCCTGTCTCTTAAGGAGATGCTGGACCTAAAACAGTAGTACTAAAAAAAACCAAAAAAAAACAGTAGTGCCCTAAGCTCCTTCTGTCTTCCTAAGATAGAAATGCTGAGCTCTCTGTTACAAATGGGAGCGCTGCGGCATAGACCAGTTTGCCCCCCATGCAGTGAATTCCTGCTAGCCAATAATTCACGGGTTTTGTAGTGTGGTTATGAGGCCACATCATTGTGTGCAAATGCCATTCCTTTACCATTGACCTTTCTGAAAGTGCTCAAAGTCACATGAATTTTAAGAAGGAATCTGTGAAAGGGGATTCTGTGCTTTTAGAGTTGGGGCAGTGTCACGCACTGTCTTTCCATCTTGGTGCTTCTGGGTGCATCCCAGCGCAGTGAGGGTTCTGAGAAGGCGGTGGGAGAAGCCCATGAATGGCTTTAATCCAAGATTTCCACAAGGGATTTGATCGAGACCTCGGGTGGGGGTGAGGATAAGGTAGATGTGGGCACGAGCTCTGTTCCTCTCCTTTAGAATTGCTCTTCTGTAGACCAGGGTGTAGAAAACGCTGGGGTGGGCGTTTTGCTAGGCGGTGTCTTAGTGTGCCGGGATGTGTGGGTGGGCGAGTGTGACCACTTTCACTGGGTCTGCTTATCTTTTTGCCCTTTTCACTTTCTGTCAAAGGGGTAACACGGCTAGCTGATATCAGTTTGCACAATCCCGTCAGTATTTCTGTCCTGGATGAAAGCCGCGACCAGTCTAACCCAAAGGACAAAGCAGCTCAGGAAGTGTCTCGTCCACAAACTTGTGACAAGCCAGAGAGTGAGAGCTTTGCCATCCCCGTGAGTCTCCATCAGCATGTGACACTGGTTCCCAGCAAACTGAGGCTTGTCTGCCTGGCAGCCTTCATCCTTCAGAAATGCAAGGTAGGACTGGGAACTGAGCCTGGCTTGATCCAGGGGCAAAAGACCCTTTCGGTTTATGTCAGATAGCAATAGTAGTTCGTTCAGATGCCAGAAAGACTTCTTTTCCCACTGAGCTTTGTTAGGGTGCCCTTTCAGGGGGTCTAGGGTTATAGTAAAGGAGCCCTGGTGGCAAGAATTGGACGCTCACCATAAAGTTGGCAGTTCAAACCCACCAGCCACTCTAGGAAAAGATGAGATTATCTGCTCCTGTAAAGATTTACAGCCTCAAAATAATAATAATGTATGAATTATGAAGGGTTCATGAGGGAGGGAGAAAATGAGGACCTCATATTAAGGGCTCAAGTAGAAAGCAAATGTTTTGAGAATGATGATGGGAATGATGATGGCAACAAATATACTAATGTGCTTGACACAATGGATGTATGTGTGGATTGTGATAAGAGTTGTACAAGCCCCAAATAAAATGATTGAAAGAAAAAAAAAAAGATTTACAGCCTCAGAAACCCTCTAAAGCAGCAGTTCTCAACCTGTGGGTTGCGACCCCAGGGGGGTATCGAATGACCCTTTCACAGGAGTTGCCCAATTCATAACAGTAGCAAAATTACTGTGATGAAGTAGCAACGAAAATAATGTTATGGTTGGGGGTCCCCGCCACATGAGGAACTGTGATAAAGGGTCGCGGCCTGGATGAGAGCCACACATCAATGGTCAGTGGCACCACTATCTTGGAGTCTGTTAGTAACTTTCCTGGGAGTCGGATTGGTGGCAACGCAGGTGACAGGAATGAATTAGGTGTCGTGTAAACATAGGGCCTGTGTCTGGGTTTTTTAAAAATGGTAGTATTTGTCTTGGTGCTAGGTTTCATGTGATCCTTCATCTGTTACATGGGGGGAGAGTAGGTGGAAGGGCCCGAGAGTGAGAGCAGGCTCTGCTGTCTCCCATTGCCCGACGCTCTGTGGGTGCCACGCGCCTCGAGCGAGCAGCTGGCGAACTGCCTGCCCTGAAGTCCATTTGTTTTCCACGGTTACGGAAACCCATTCGAGGGCTCAGATCCGTAATGTTCCTCTCCAGCTTTCTCTGTAGAGTGCAGTACCGGTGTGGTTTTCATTTTTAAAAGAGAATTCGAAGTCCTATGTCGCCTCGGTCTCCAAGTCGAGGACAGTGTGACTGTGTTTTAGAGAAATGGTCATGTCAGCATCGCCTGATCTTGAAAACGGGAGGCGTTTGTTGCTGTTTTGCCGTTCTTTCCTCTCTGTGTTGCAGTTTGAAAGCGGCCAAAAGCTGATCGTCTTTTTCTCGAGCTGTGAACTGGTGGAGTTCCACCACCACCTCTTCCTCCAGACCCTGCTGAGCCGCTCGGGGCCCCTGGCGTCGGGGCAGTTACCATCGGCCTCCTTGGGATTAACATTCCTGCGGCTGCACGGCCACATGGAACAGGAGGTGAGCACGGAGCCGCCCGCCACGCAGCGAAGTAGCCTGCAGTGTGGCCCGGGGAATGAACGCCCAGCCCTGTCACGCTCCTCCTTGAGGCCCCTGCGGGTTGTGTCCACCGGGCAGGGAGGACTGACTCAAAGGGCCCCCCGAACGGAACGTGGGTCACACTGCTGCGTTGATGATTCAGGCAAGACGTGTCTATTGTCCCCATTTGCTTTTCCTTCAGGAGCTGGGCCTCCTTGTCCCTGCTTGCTGGCCTCTTCCACCTGAGAGCACTCACAGGCCCCAGCTTGGGCCTGAATCTGCCTCAACCAGCTGTTAAGGCAACAGTACCACTAAGTAGCTGGCACCAGGGAAGGGTTTTGCCTTTTTAGTACCCAGTGTGTAATTAGGGCTTGATGTCTTCAAATTAAGAGCATTAATGGAGCTAAATTGTGGATCCCATATGGTACTGCTGAGCATGACTGCTGTCATTGTCAACAAGATACAGGGCTCTCGCTCTTCATATTTTGGGTTGAGAGGGGTACTGAGTACCAAGGGGCTTCAGGGCTTCAGCGCTGCCTTGGCACGAAGTAAGGTTTTTGAAGTAAGGTTTTCTTGTTTCGGGTACTTAGTGTCATAACTCATTCCACTATTCCTGGGGCCCTTCATGGAGGGGTGGGCAGAGCCCCAGAGCTAGGTGGACTCACAGAGACATGAGAGGAAGGATGGGCGGCCATGGAAATGGGAGTCAACTTGACGTAGAGGAGAGCTTACCCGGCCGCTTAGGAAAGAGAGTGAGAGAAAATCATACACTGGCAAGAACCAGGTTTAAAAGTTAGGACAGAGTTGAAGGGCCATTCAAGGTCATCAAGCCCACACCTCCTGCTCCTCTTTTTCTGTTTTAATAAGGAAACAGGCCCGCAAAAGTGAGCTTGCTCAAGGTCATTGAAGGACATGACTTCTTCTGTACCCCAAGAGCACACATTTTCCTGTTCCCTGCATTCTTTAGTACCATGTGTTTTGTTATCCCTCGGGGTCCTGGTCCTCTGGGTCTGGAGATGCAGAAGGAGGTGGATAGGAACGCACAAATCTAGAAGTCCGGTGGGTCATATGAAAGATCCATGATTAAATCACTTCTGGGCACAGGGTCCATTGCTGTGCACCTGGGGGAAGACAGCCAGGGTGTCACTGTGGCTCTGCCATTTGCTGGCTGTGTGACCTCGGGGGTGTAATTAGTTTTCTGTGCCTCAGTTTTCTTAGCTCTAAAATGAGGATAATAATTGTTCTTAGTTCAGAGGCCATTGTAAAGAGTCATTGACTTTGGGAAAAGCTCGTAGCCCCAAGCCTGGCACAGAGTAAGTGTTTCTGTTGCTCTGTCTCCTCCAGAAAGGGTGTGTTTGCTCATGTTTGTGTTTGCATCGTAGTGCCGTTAACATGGGTCCTTGTCACTGTGGGTAGGTGGCGGTGTCCTTTTTGAGGGCATGTCCCTTCGGCAGGTTCCTTAGCCCTCTGAGTGCCTCAGTTTCTTCATCTGGAAAGGAGGAGGAGGGGGGTGGCATCTACTAGTGGAGTGTTACATGAATCAGATAAATACACGTCAAATGTTGAAGGCGGTAGCTTTACGTGTACGCGTTCAGTGAATGGTGATAGGTATTTTTATGTTCTTAGCCAGTGTCTTCAATAAGTAACGTCTATTTTGGGGTTCTAGTATATGGGGTGATCGGTGGCTTCAAAAGGTTGGTGGGAAAATGGAATGATAATCTAATGGCCTTTTTCCATGAACTTTTTGAAGCCTCCTCATACATGCATGTAGAAGACCAGAAAAGCACACCAAATTAGCAGAGTGGAAGGAGAGACTTTACTCTTTGTCCTTGTTTTCCAAATTGTTATTAATTTGGGTTTATTTTCTGTTGATTTGGCCAAGGCTCAGCTGCTTAGAGCGCTGTGACATCAGCACAGCCCCAACTTAACCTTTCCAGATGCGTGCTGAGTGTGCGAACATACCCTTTGATCCAGTAAGTCTGTTTCTAGGGCCTGACCTGAGGCAGAATGGGAAAGTACACAGCGGTTTAGCTACAGCCGTGTATCAGCACTCACTGTTCATAACAGTAACAAGTGAGGACGGCCTCAGCAGCCAGGGAGAGGACACTGGTCATAGCATCGCAGTCCACCCAGGCAGCGGAGCCACTGGAAACAGTGCCATGGTCGGTGTTCATTGGCCTGAGCAGACGTTCACTTCCACTGGCACGTAAGAAGACGGTAACTGGATCAATGACACGAGGCCAGTGTTTCCAAGCGCACACAAACACGCAGCAACGCACTTGCGTGTGCGAGGCCAGAAAAGGGAGGGACTCAAAGAACTGGCGAGTTCACAGCGAGCCTGGGGCTAGTGGGAGTGATGGGCTTGGTGTCTTCCTTTGCTTTAAACTCATTTCGTTTTGGTCCTTTTTTCCGTCTCTGTTTGCTTGTGCATGTTCGCATTGCGCTGTAGGAAGGGGTTGAAGCCACGTTGGTGCTTTACCGTTCTCCTAGAACATGTGCATGGTTAGAATTGATTCCGGGGCTGGAACCCTGCATGCAGCACCGGTGCCCTCAGGGTCTCTCCCGGATCTCGGTGGTGGCCCCTTCTGAAGGCCGGGTCCATCCTGTCATTGTCCTACTGAAGTGTCCACCCTCAGACAAGTCTAGTCCTGTAAGTCCAGGCTCTACTTTTAAATAGGCGAGGGGCCCACTGCTTCTTCTCTGGGTCCCAACAGTACTGACGGTGGTAGGAAATCCCGAAGAGCTGAAGGAATGCCTTCTCTGCGTGCCTTGCCTGCAGGAACCTTACCGTTGCTGTAAAGGCCTCTTTTTTCCTTTGTTTTTTAGGAGAGAACAGCGGTGTTTCAGGAATTCTCCCATTCCCAAACCGGCATCCTTCTTTGCACGGTACGTATGTGAGGGGAGTCTGCCGTTTTCATCTCATGACAGTTTGCCCCGTGGCCAGCCCCACAGGGAGCAGAAACACCAGGCCTCTTGGTGTGGCCGGTCTCTTTGCACTTCCAGCTTGTCACCTGACTGTGCCGAAGACTTCCCAATTTGCTCACTAATAGTGACAGCTGTTGCGCTGAAAACGTGTGAATCTTGGCGATTGCGACCCACACAAATCTTGTAAATTACAGCTATCGGGAGTAATTAGAGCTGCAAAACTCTTTCCCCAGTCCCGAGACTCGCTGAGGCTTATTTAAAAGCCTCTGCTCACCTTTTCGTAAAGTGAAACAGATGCGCTTGGACTGGTTGTATTTGCTATTGTTTCCAACTGCCATTTGCCCTCCAATTTTCAGGGCCAGTTCAGTTGGCCTCAATCTCTGCAATCTTGGCTTGCTGCCTCCTCCAGCTCGGCAGCTGACCTTTGGAATGTGCATCTTGCGCGCTCTCGAGATTGAAAACCCTAACCTTCCACAGCACCACACCCCACCCCCCCTTCTCCGGACATTCACTTTTCTGATGTGGTCTTTCTCGCCCAAGCTTCAAATGCCTTCTCCAGTCGCCATCTTGAAAGATGGACTGGAATCCCAATCATTTATTCCAGAAGTCCCTCTGTCCACAGTGAGGCCAGTGCCGTGTCAGCCTAGTCAGCCGGTGACCAGATTGGGGGCTGGGGGCGGCGCCGGAGAAAGCATTTGTATACCTGAGTGCCTGTTTAGGCCAGTGACTGCAGCTACTCTACTCTATTCTGTTCCAAACAAGTTGCAAGACAAGTCTCTTTCTCAATGAAAGAAGGCCTGCTTTTGGGGGCGGGGGCGGGGAAATAGGGGGAAGTGTGTGTGTGTCTGTGTCTGTGTCTCTTCTCACGGGTGTGCCAAACTGCAGTCGCTACTGGGACACTTGCCTCCTAAGAGCTCTGTCTGACCAAGTAAGTAATCATTTCCTGAGTGCAGCCAGCTGACAAGTCAGATGCCTGCCCTCTTTTCTAGAACTATCTTGAAATGTCCAGCCTAAAGTGAAGAAGAGTCCATATAATCTTGTAAATCAATTTCTCAGATCCTTAACATGTCCTCTGATGCCTGCTGCAGTCCGACCTTGACCTTTCACTACACTCCCCCCTCTTCCCTCACCTTCAGCCAAACAGGCCCTTCTCTGGTTTCGTGAGGGTGTCTTGCTTTTTCCACCCGTGGATTCTCGGTCCACGCTGTTCCTTCTGCCTGGAACACCCAGCCGGAGACCTCACTGACCCCTCTTTCATCTGAGCCTCAATTCTGCTTCTCCAGAAAGTGAGGCCCTGGAGGTCCAGTCTGGAGGTTCGACACTTGAACCACACCTGGTGCTTCACCATGCTCGGCCCAGGGGTCTTCCCCCCAATCATAAGTGCCGTGCTCATGATTTACCACAAGGAGCCGTGTTTGATTCACCAGGGTCTGGCACTGCTCGGGCTCAGAGTAGGCGCTTAGTATTCGTGGGCTAAGTGGGTGGGGGGAAGATGGGGCCCCAGAAGCTCAACGTTGAGAACCCCCAGTGGGGGCATTTTTCTAAAGCCAGAGGAGGGCTTATTGGGGAATAAGGTCACTTCCTCATACAGATAGAGTCTGAAGAGTGAAATTTACAGATTGTCAATATTGAAGTAGAAAGCAGTAGGAACCTTTGCTTTACTTTGGAGTTTGGGGAAAGGATCAGAGCAAATGGTTTCATCTTTGACCCGGAGGATACTGGTTTCTTTTTGGGAAATCGTAGTCTCCTAGTATGCAAATGCATTACAGACAGAGCCTCAGAGAAAACTCTCAGTAGCTGTAGTTCCAATTTGGTTTTCATTAGCTCTACCTGGAGCAAAAGAACATTCTTTTGAAATGTAATTCTCAGTGAGGTCAAAAGCTTAGGATTACTTCTCTGTTTGGGTAGTTCCTGCTGGCAAAGACTCTCTCTCCCTCCCTCCCTCCCCTTTCCCCTCTCCTACCCCTGCCCCATCTTGGTCCTGAGCAATGCCCCTGAAACAAACTCTCAGATGCCCATGAGCTATTTTTGGGGGTATTTTCCCCTAAAGTTTCTCAGTCCATATTCATGTGTGGGTGGAGGGCACTTCCAGTACAGGGACCTCTCCCCCATGATCATTGTTTCTTCACTCCGTGCTGAAGAGCTGGTGGGGCCCACCTCTCTCTACTCCTAAGCCCAGACAGGTGAGCACAGGTCCCGAGTGATGAAAAGTTATTTGGTCACTCGGTACTCCTGCGCTGCCTGCCATATTTGTGTGCTTCAGCCTGTCGCTTTGGAGTGTGAGAGCTGCAGGGCTTATCAGACATGCCGTAATAGATCATGCCTGAGCTGGGGAGATACTGTCACTCTGCATCCTTCTAAGCAGCCTGTTGCTGGCCAGGCTATCTGAACGCTCTCCAGGAGCCTCCTTAGTGTTAATGAGGAACGAGGGCCACGTCAGGACAAGGCAGATGGAGAACTGGCTTCTTTTGATAACGAGGAGTCATGTTGTTAATCGTCATGTGGGGACTTTTCTCCCTTTATGCTAAACCTTTGGTCATTCTGAGTTACTATCCTGAAGCCTTTTCATGACGCCGGGAGACCAAATTGTCCAGATGAAAATCTGGGCACCGCAGTGTGACCACACAGAAGCCCACGAGCACCTGTTATCTGTAGAAAGAGGCCCCCCCACCCTGCTTTCCTCCTTGCTTGCTGCCTTGTCTCTTGTCTCTCAAGTAACAGTTCAGATGTGTGTGCATGCATTTTCCTTCATCTTGGCGACACTTGGAAAGAAGGGCCTTCGTGGATTTTGTGTCCTGTGGCTATGAATGTTTGACCCTGGTTAGAGGAAGTAGAGGTTATTAACATTTTTTGTTGTTGTTGACATACACAGGTGAGCTGAAGTATAGGGGCAGAGGCAAACGCATAATTGAGGCAGGTCATACAAGTGTGTGAAAGGTGAGAAGTCTTCACATCTCTGAAACACAATTTTAAAATCAGATTTTAGGAAGAAGCCATGAGAAGTACGGAGTACTGATTAGCAGGCAGGGATCATGAACGTTCCAAGCCTACTTTCCCCAAATGAAATTAAGGAGTCAAATGGATAAGATATGAGACACTGGATTGTCTCTAAAATAACTATTCCCGCCCATAGTGTGCAAAGGGAGCCCAGGTGGCAGAGTGGTTTCCAGCTGGGCAGCTCACCGAGATGCCGGCGACTCAGCTTGAAAGATGGCACTTTACTCCCATAAAGAGTATCAGTTTTAGAAGCTCAGGGGGCAGTTGTGCCGTGCCCTCCAGGGTGGCTGTGGGTCAGCATCACCTCGATGACAGTGATAAGGGAGTTTGGTGTTACCGTGAGGAACTCTCCTTAAACCCAAGGAAGAGGGCGTGGTTTTTAATAGTGTTCTCATTGCGTGTCTGGAAAATGGTGTTTCCAAGCTACCTCCAGCGTGAAGGCTGACAGGAGCCTTGGTATGTGCTGGTTGGTTCACGTGGCGCTGACTGGTTGTCCCTGGGCAGATGAAATGAAGCTGCCTGTTGCCTTGTCCCCGGTTCGCCGAGGTACTGCTGAAGGTTTATTCATCGAAGTCTGTGCTTGCTTGACTGTCCAGCACACGCTTCTGCAAAGTTACCAGAATGGCCTGTACCACTGCCCTTCCCCTTCCCTCTTTCCCTCGCCCTCGCTTTCTGCTGGAAGCACGCTATTCTTCAGTTCCTCGCCTCCTGGGGAATTTCCACTGCGCCAGGAGGCGAGGAGACAAAGGGGATGAGGCCAGCAGAGTCCGGAGAGTGTCAGCTCACTGCCCCAAATAAGTGAAAGCTTCCTTGCATCTCTCTGGGGCAGGCTTGGTGGGTAGGGTTCATCTTCTCCATTTTACTTCATTTGTGTCCGTGGCAAGATCGTTTGGAGATGGTTTGCTGTTGACTCAGTTACGCTAACTCATGTTGCCAGTTTTTTGGCGGCTCCAGCCAAGATCTCTAGCCTCTGACAGCTTCTGCACTCTCTCCTTCCTCCTCTGATTACGCGGCCCAATCTGTCACCCGGACAACGGGGGCCTGTACCCTGCTGCTGGCTTTCCACACACGGCAATAATGACTTTTGGCAGGCCGGGAAGGCGTCAGAGGCGAGTTTGCTGCGTCCCTTGCTCAGAGAGCCGGCAGGCCCCCTCTCCCTGTTAGTAAAAGCACTTTGTGAGGTTCTCGGGTAAATAAATGAGTCATATTAATCCAACTGACAGGCTGGCACCTGAGCAAGCTGCCTTCCATCTGTAGTCCTGGGTCTCATGGAGGCAGCCAATTGTCAACCGAAGGCTTCAAGGCCTCACTGTGGAGTGTCTTTCAGAACTGATTTTAGTGAGTCTCCTGCCCTAATTAGGTTGAAGAAGTAAAATCGGGCTGCTTCAGTGTGCTAAGAGCAGGTAGAGAACCTCGGCCTTCACGGAGACTTGAGGCAGGTCACACTCTCCCCGCAGCGTGGTGCAGCTGCTGGTGGGGCTGTGGGACCACAGAACAGCCTCCTGCTTCTCGGTGGTGCTCGGCCCAGGTGCAAGCGATGGGGGTGTGATGCAGAAAGAGATTGAAGAGGCATTTAAGTCACCGCCTAATTACTCCCAGACCAATTCTTACTTCGTGAAATGAAATGCGCGTAGTCCCCCTGCCCACCGACTTAGAAGGCATTTGTGTTACAACACCCCGCACGTAGAACTGCCTCTTTTAAAAAATATATATTCATCTCGTTAGTACTATTGCAGTATGTCAACTGCTGGTGTTCTCATTCTCAGCTCTTTACATGAAGAAGTTAAAAAATCGGATTTATAAAAATACTGATAATAAAGGGCAGTAATAATGGGTGGGAGGCAAGGGAACAACAAGCGATCCAAATTGGTGGGGAGGTGGGTGTGGGAGACCTGGTAGGGCAGGATCAAGGGGAACGTAACAAAGAGGAAGTGC